TACCTGTTCCTGGGTAATATGACATAAGATAGGTCTACAAAAACGTTTATCAGTCGTTTAATACATTGTTTCCTGAGTAAAACAGATTATGAGTTACAGTGATCGCTGAGCGTACTAATAAAGCGCTAAGGCATTAAAAGGATGCAGCAAAGCTGATCGACATTAGTCAGCACTAGAACACACAGTGAATATCTGCGATAACTCATATCCTGTCAATATATTTGAGGCAGTTTTCAGCCAGCACGATAGTGAAGTTTGTATTTCTACAACACCGAGTGAGTGACGGTCCACAACTATACTAGCACCAAATGCTGCAAATGGAATGGAAGGTAAGTTAGAACAGTTTCCTGCAAATGCATACAGTACTTTAGACCGAACGAATAGACAATTTCCAGAAATTATTTCAAGATGACACCCGTATTCGGCACGTAGACAATGTCAAGAAATTGTTTCACAGTGACACATCACATAATTAGGCTAGGATCTACAATCAGAATACAAGATCAACCGTTGATTCATACAAAGAAATTAAATTACATCGAAAATAAAAACAACCGTTACATGCTTTGTTGATTACTGAGTTACTAAAATATTATGATGCATATTAATTGTGATTGAATACCATTGCTTTGTATGTACATACTGTGTTCTAAGGCTAAGGTGAATCTTAGAATTGGCTAGGATATATTAGAGCCAAATAGATTTTTTAAAAGGTTAATTGAGTTAAAACCTGATTTGGTTTTTCCCGAGTAGTTTAACATAGTGATAATATATCACAAATTGATTTGTTAGTGTTTGTATTGCTATTGATCGTGATATTTTTAAAGATATTTCTTACTCTCAAGAGATAATATTAGATTTGTAATTGTTGTATTTGTACAGGAGTATTATGTACATCTACAAGTCAAAAATGGCCGAATGGATAGCCATTGGTAAATAATTGGTCCTTAATGGCGACGAACTAAAGAAATCTGTAGATGACTTGGGCCTGAACACGAACTACGAGTAAAAGAGAAAGAAGAATTAAAACAAGCTGAATTGAAACACATGGAACTACAACAATAAAAGGAATGTAAAGACAAGGAATTAGAGATCAGAGAGAAAGAATTAGAGATCAGAGATAAGGAATTATTGTTACAAATTGAGATTGAAGAAAAAAAATTACAATTAGAAAAAGAAAGATTAGCAGCACAGACTCAAGCCGATAAGGAGAAGGCAGAAACTCAGATTAGAACGAAGGAAATGGAAAGTTAGTCGAGAAGAGAGGGAGCCATATAAAAAGAAAAGAAATAGCAGAGGAAAAAATTGAAAACTATGCTGCAATTGTCAGAAATTATTGCAAAGAAGACGACATCGGACCTTTGATCGCAAACTTTGAACTTAGCATGCACGTAGTGCCGTTGAAACATTACGCTTTAAACTTTCAAAAACACCTCGCATTCGAACCTTTACAGATTTTGGAAACTATCCCTGAAACAAAAAAAAAAGATTAGACTATAACTACATCAAGGAACGGTTAATTAAACATTCAACCTGCACGAGTTAGGCTATAGAAAACAATTCAACGATTTGAAACCAAAAGGTCGTCAAACATTTACAGACTATCGGCCAGAAGTGCAAAACATATTCCAAAAAATGGGTTGAGATGGCTAATGTAAAAAAAACGACTGTAAGTTGTTAGTTGATTTGTTGTTAAGATGTAAATTGTTAGAATCTCTTCCAGGGCAAATAGCAACCTTCCTGAAGGAAAATAAGCCAACAAATCTTGACACCTTAGAAGAAATAGGTGACAATTATTTTGCAGCACACCCTAATATTTTTGTTTAATCAAATTTAAAAACGATAGAGGTGCGAGCAGGAGCCTATGCAAAGCCATACCAGCAGAGATTTCAGGATAAAAAGACTACAAGTATAGTAAGAAACAGGTAAAGATAATTGAATGCCGCTACTGTCTCAAAAACACAGTGATAACTCACCTTGTGATGCTCATCCGGATTTAAAAAAAAAAAAAAAAAAAAAAGATTGTTAAATGAATGCTCATAGAAAAAGCAAGTTGAAAAGGTTTATTAAATGCTATGTTTGTCAGTGTTACAATCATACTCGTTCTGAATGCCCTGTTATAAAGCTATTTAAAGATGCAATTGTTATATATGTAACATCAGATAATGATTCGGACAGTGACTCAGCTGAAGCCAATTCAGTTACCTTGTTCGAAACAGAAGAAGAATGTCAGCTCTGTTCGAAATTCCATGATGAAGGTAACTAACGGCGTGGTCACCTGATACCTATTCAGAACGCCAAACTGGCATCACACAGTTACGGTAGTTTGAAATTACAGAAAGGTAATATCCATGGGCAAACCATATCACTTCTTAGAGACACAGTGGCGACGATATCCGAAGCGCATCATAAATTGGTTAAACCAGAAGATCTAACAGATAAATATATCCATTGTCGTACCTTCGGTGGTAATATTGAGAGAAATAGACTTGCTAATATGTTTGTGAAAACACCATATTTAGAGAAGATAATAACTGTAGCAGTGTTACCATCCCCTTGTGCTGATGTGAGTTTGGGGAACAAGGAAGCTTTGAGAAAAGTAACTGATAATGACATTGTAGCTTGGAAACACAAAAAAATTCCAGAGTATTGTGAGAGTATGGAAGATAACCCTCATATCCCACAGAGTGTGTCAACTCAGTAAGAAAAAAAGAACAGGTCCGACAGAGTGAAGAGAGTAAAAGGGAGAACTAAAGCCCAAACAAAAGAAACACAATTCTAAAGAATGAGTCTGGAGGTACGGAAGAAAGAAGTAATACGAATGACAGTTGTAAGAAAACCTAACACAAAAAGAAGAAAAGTGAAATGAAGGAAAGCAGAGTGCTTCTGAATAATCAGTCTACAAATACAGAAAGTCAGTTTAGCCACAAAAAAAAACTGTGTGTTTAGAAAAACAACAGCAACTGAAAACACGCAAATCGGATGGAACATTGTATTATCTAGGATTGTTGTAAGAAATATTGCAGATAGTTGAGTTCGGAAATAAACATGACTCAGTTCGGTATGTAAACAAAATTGTATCATGACATTCCACGAACGAAACAACACTATGAACAGAAACGGCAAAATGGTTCATCACATTACACACAGGTTTTGATGTGGCTATTAAACTTCATATTAATTACAGATTCTTCTGAGAACATTCCAAAGAACTTTGAGTTATTCTAGACTATTTATGCTATTCAAATAGTACAACTTTTGGTGACTGAATATCCTATTCAGAAAATCTTGTATAACGAACAGTTCTTTGGTGTTTATCAAAAGTTGTCAAATTCTCAAAAGTGTTACACTGCTTGCATTGATACTACTAAAACTATTGCTTTTACACATGGTTTATTCTAAAAGCTTTACTCATTCGGCGAGTACACATCTGACTTATCGGTGAGAAGTCACATACAGCTAGCAGATTCTTTTAATATATTGTGATATTAGACAAACAAGTTCGCTTTAATCAGACATAATTTTAGTATTGTCTATAGACATTGTCACAGAATTATTTAGCGTGTATCTAGTATAATAATATTCAGAACCCACTCATTATACTGTTTCTCAAGCGTGTATTTTGTGTATCATGTAAACTTAAAACAATGGTGGCTTGAGAAAAGGCAAAAAAAAGCATGTGTCCAGGCAACACGAAAAACAGCGAATACACGCTAAAAGAAATACTGGACTGGATTCAATCCTGGTGAAAAAGTACTAAAATTAATGATGCAACAGCATACACGGAAAATATTTGAATCCACGCAAAAACCTTACCGGAACACCCAGAAACGTGTTCTACAACATTGAAAAGGCAAACCTGACAGTTAACCCAATAAAATCAGAGTTTTTTTTCTACACGTATCCAATTTTTGGGACATACAGTTTTTGAGGAAATTATTCAGACTGATGTGACAATTGTTTCTAAAATTTTGAAAATTAAAAGACTGTGAATAATGAATACGAAGAAAGCGTGAAACTGGAACGGAAGACGTGAACCCAGAGAGGGTAGTAAGACACCCGAAGTTCGGACCGTGTACGTGTTCGGGAGGAGAAATAAAGGTTTCCTGATTGCCAGTTTCACCATGTATTAATAGCAGGTACAATACGTTAGCTGGATATAGATGTATGTTCCGAGAGATACGAGCAGAGCGAATCACCGTGTGAGAGAGTTGGCCAGGTCATCAGAAATCAGTCATGCATAGCGACCACGAGGACGGAAGAATGGGTTGTCAGTGAGATGTTTCTAACAGCAAATAAAGGTCCATAACTGAACGCTCGTCATCTGGTGTGTTTAAGCAGCTATGTGTATGTCAATACAGCAATGAGGCGAGTAGAATCAAATCCCTAGCAGAGCACATTGCACAAACTGTTCTGGTAAAGAATTCACCCCCACCCCCTCTTTCGCCTCAGAAAACACATACAGACACACGCATACACATACACACACACACACTTATCCCTTGCTGCCAAGATTATGTTATGTTATCAAAATCGACGTCTGTGCACATTGGGAAGTCCGATGTGTGCTCTGTACTACAGTGTAGCAGCACGGGAGTTCTCAAAGTCGTTCACTGTAGTTTCCACCCCTGAAACAATCTCCTGTGTTCAGTATCAGGGGCGTGCTGGTAATCTTGCACATCAACCCCTTGCGGCCTTTCCCAGCAACCCTCACCAGCTACTTGGATGCTGGTCCAAGCTATTTTTTTTTTCTTCTTTTGTTTGTTGCAGAATTAACATTTTTTAGCGAACATACTGGACGCAAAAAAGACCACTATTATAGCCTATACGCTAGCAGAAGGCTGAACATTTTCAAATTTTCTATTTTGTATTTGTTATCATAAATGTATTCGATAAAACAGTAGCTAGCACAGCACTGGGAGTAATGATAGATTTGGTTCTGCTTCACAAACTAAGTAAGCATGACGTCATTAGACACACAACACTTACAAAAACCTTACAGAAAGGTTTAGCTTTCATCTGCTGTGCAATCCAGTCCTGCTTTTCCTTGCTGGTGATTTCCACTAGCCTAGCACCGAGTGTGTGGCAAAAGGACTAGGAGATAAAATGCAAGTAAATTGAACGTGTTAGATTTAGGAAAGTAATGTGTTTTTTAGTCTAATAGAACAGACAACAAGAGTTTAAAAAGTATATTGCTGCAAATGTGTGTATGTGTGTATAATTGAGGCACTGACTGTAAACTGGGAGGGGGGGGGGGAGAAAAAAAAGGGGAGGGGTGGTTTTTTAAACTATGCGAGCGTCGTTTGTGCTGTATGGAAAACATGACACATAACTGACTCACAAGGTATTCATCTCCCCACTGTGTATGTCTGTGTGAGTGTTGTGTCTGTGTGAGTATTGTGTCTGTGTGAGTGTTGTGTCTGTGTGAGTGTTGTGTCTGTGTGAGTGTTGTGTCTGTGTGAGTGTTGTGTCTGTGTGAGTGTTGTGTCTGTGTGAGTGTTGTGTCTGTGTGAGTGTTGTGTCTGTGTCAGTGTTGTGTCTGTGTGAGTGTTGTGTCTGCGTGAGTTGTGTTTCCGTGAGCTTATCTGTGCCTCTCTGTGTGTTATGTTTGTGTATTTGTGCATCCATATTGAAGGTTTATATTTTTCATCCATGCCATTGTAGTTTTAGCTTTGATGTATACCATAAAAATGGATTAATTAACATAAAATGTTTGCAATCTCTTTCTTCTTTGTGTTCACCAGCTGTTGGTTTAGGATAAAATATCTTGTTGATCGTCTACTTGGACTTTAGTCTTGTTCCAGAAGTGAGTTTAGCATGTACATCTCTTTTTAGATCAGTCTTATTTGTGTGAAAACTTTTGTTACTTGCCTCTTTTCAGGCAGATGCACTCCTGCTTCAAAGGAGACGCTAGCTGGTCGACTGCTATTACGACATGCTTGTTAGGGAAGTCATGGATCTATGACACCCGTCCAACTCGAGGAAATACAAGTCGCTTGGCTCGTTCTTTGTTTTAGGGCGATGTTGACAATAATAAAGAGAACACTTACAGCTGCTGTTATCCACGTGACAGGTTCAGGGTTGAAAGAAAAGCATAAATCGCCAAACTGAGGCCATCCTTTTGGGCAGTCGGCTAGAGCTGAAAAACAGTCAAGAAACGATAATCCAGTCATGTAACTTTTCCACAAAGAAAAGTAGAGTAATCAGCTCTTTTATCATCATTGGCGTATTGGCTAAATGAGGTAGGACTTTTATGTTGATATCGGCATTTGACATGTGATCCTGTCAACATCCTGTTGGTTGGGAGTGGTGGTGGGTGGAGGGGCTAGAATGTCCACTGACCGTCAACAAGCATGTCGTAAAAGTAGACAGATTAGCGATGTTTTCATCGAAGTCGGAGTGCATCTGCCTAAGAGGCGGGGAATTAGTCGTCTGCAGACAAATAAACCAGATCTGTATAAACTTCAGGTTCTGCGACGTGACCACAGTCCTCAAATAGACGAACAAACAGAACTTTTTGCTGCAGTTTTCAGCTGGTGAACACCAGGAAGAAAAAAGAGATTGATTTAACGAGGATGTCCGTGAGAAATCACAAGGCGGGAAACGTTATGTAGGTCAAAGTCGCTGCACTAGATACCCTCCATTATCGAATAGCTTGCACAGAATAGAACAAAAAAAAGAAGATTAAACTACAGACTAGACTAGTAGAAGTAAAAAAAAGTAAAGATCTCTTTACACGCCCTTAGGCGCATCGGGCATATGAGAAGAGTACCCAAATTTTTACAGACCAATCGGCACTCGGTGGGTAATGTGGTCAGCACTACGCCGTCCGTCTTTACTTTCCCAGAACAGCCCATCTTGGTACCCATTTGAGGCTGGGTCGACCAGCGACGTCCCATACCACGATAACTGGGTGAAGCAAGTCTATGCTGTCTTCGACAGTCAGGCAGAAAACAAACTTCTCATGGTAACAATCAATAGAAATAAACCAGAGCGGAAGTTGCGTCACAGACAGGATCAAACTTATGATTTTGTTTTCTAGCCTACAGAAGATTTGTTTAATATATCTTGCCCTATATTCTCTGTTGGCGTCTGTGGCTTAGGCGTTGCGAACCAAATGGCGAGTAAGCAATGGCAAACTACTGAACGTTAAATTTGCCCAGAAAAACCGCAATAGCCCAAAAAAAAAAAAAAAAACGCTAGGGTTGGTTCGGGAAAGTCCTATAAAGGATTCGCAACTAACGAAATACGCATCCGTTTCATCAATACTTGAGTGTGCGAGGGACTGGTTACTGGCGGTCGACCTGTCTGGTTTCGAAAGGAGCCAGAATGAATCCGGAACACGGCCGGAGACACGACATAGAGGTCTTATCTCCACTTCCATATGCAATTTGCTAAAGCAGCTGCGCTTGCTAGGAAACAAGCGTAAACGGTCTCTAAAACAACTGGGCAAAGCTGTTGAAAGGACTTCGAGCTGGCTCTAAACAAGAAAACATTTTTTTGTTTTGGTTCCACCTCAGTAAACTGGCCTGAGCTCCTAGCGGAGAAGAGCTTCTTATTCCTTGAAAGCCGAAGCGTCCGATAAATGTCTGCCAGTGTCTCTCTGCCAAAGTCTAACATCTGCCGTTGAACCAGTCGTAAGATTGTCACTCTGATCATAAAGGTAGACAGCCAATTTGCTACCCCAGCGACATGTATATATATATATATATAAACATCAAAAGTCACTGTAATAAGTGGTGTGTGTTTCTTCTCGTTGTCTAGGCAGTTGTGATGACCCTGCTTTGCATGGTCTCCACGAGTACATTGTGGCAAGCAGGGAAGTCCGTGCTACAAGTGACGGCACGAGATACTTGTGGCCGGTGGAGCAAGCGAGGCGAAGCCCGAGCTAACCTCGTGGTCAGTCGATCATCAGAAGTCAGTGAAGACGGTTGTAGTAATTGAAGATGTAGTTTTTATGTTGTGAATGGTTAGTGTTCGAATATGTCGCGAGTGAAATAAATGTGAAATAAATGGACCAGAATAAACTGACAGAATGTACAATGAAGCTGAGCGGCGTTTGTGTTGTCAACCCTAGATGTTAAAGTCTGTGTAAGCCAAGGTACATTCCAAGTAGACTACGATTCATTCCAAGTTGAATCAGAATCATTTCAAGATAGTTGAAAGAGTAACTTCAAGTCTACGTTTTGATTCATTTCAGCAGTGTTCATGCGTGTGTGGTGGTTTATTCATATTTTTAAAATATTCGAGTTTTCGGCATATCATTATTTTACAATTACAATTTATAGTACATATTTCTCACTATAATTCGACATATTAACAACGGTTTGAATGTTTAGCATATCATATTTTAACGTTACCAGCGTTTCAGGACACATGTATCTTCATAATTCTATATGTTTATAAAAAAAACCTTGTAACCTATAGTGCCATTTCAATGGTTTGAGATGAATTATGTCTGTATTCCATAGTTGGGGATTTCAAGCTGTACGACAGACATGCCAACTAAGACACCTTTTGTGGGGAGAGGGTACGAAAAGGGGGAGGGGAGGTGGGCTTGGTTGCCTAGTTGGTGGTGTTCTTAGTATACTTGTTTCTTTTGCGAGGCGCACCCGCCATTTTGAGGCTACACGTTCGATTTCTGATACGGTAACTATAGCTTTCGATTTTTCATTTTGTCTAGTGTGTTTTTCTATCATCTGTTACTTTAAAACAAAAGTTTCCGCATAGATTGATGAATGTTCCAAGTTTAATGGAATGCCTCTGTGGTGTTTGACAGTCACGGCACCGTAGAAATCAGCACAAAGCAGTCTGCTACCAAAATACCTATATCTGACTAAATTCTGTGACTGGGTCGTCTAGATATGTCCTGTAAGTAAAATAACTAATTGAAGAGCTACGAGGGATGGTCAAAATATAATGTTTCATAATTGTTAATTATATTCAATAGGTAAGAAAATATAAAATTCACAGTGAAACATGGCCCCAAGTTTTAAAAATGGATTACTTCATTTAGTAGCCATTTTTTTTTTTTTTTTTCAAAAGAGCATATACCTCCACAAATTAAAAAAAAAAAAAGAAAACTGTTCTGTTTCCTAAACCGTTGAGGTACGGCGCGTTCAGGGAGTGACCTTTTGCAGCTTTGTGACAACAATGTACCCAGCACCCGACAGTGCCATCATCTAGGATTGAATCTTCAAAACATTCTTAAATCTTTCATAGATGTCAATTAAGGTGTTGCCATCAGCGTTGAGGAATTCTATGACATTATGTTGCTTCAGCTGAACGTCTTTGAAAACCATTACAGAGGTGCTCCATTACATTCCTGGGTACCTTGTCCCGGTAAAGTAAAACAAAAAGGACCCTTTCTCAAGCCTTTAGGCGTATAGGGCATATAGATCTATATTTTATAGACCAATGGGCACAGGATGGGTGATGTGGTCAGCATCACTGCGGCTGCCTTTACTTCCCAAGACTGCACCCGGTACCCACTCAAGGCTGGGTCGACCTGGGAGCCTAGGTATTTTTTTTAAAATAGTCCGGCTCCACTAGGGAGCAAACCCACGACCTTGCGATCTGCGGTGAGCTTCTAGCCGCTCTGCCACGGCGACTCCTTGTTCCGGTAAAGGCAAGACCAAATGGCAACGACTTTGATCAGAGACTCATTGCTGACTGTTAGGGAGGGGGGCCAAATTAATATCAATGATGTAAACCCCCGTCAACAAGGGTTCAGACTCGAGACACAGCCATAAAAAGAACATACAAATAGCTAACGTTCGATGGTGTATACTAGGAACATACAAATAGCTAACGTTCGATGGTGTATACTAGGAACATACCATTTTTAGAAAGGTCTTGCTTTTTCTTAAAAGGACTCACAAACTGGCAGACTCAGCGTGCGACTGCAAATGAATGAGATAAATGAATGGAAATATCGTCTGTTTATACATGTTCGTTTGATACTTGCAATGGGGTTTTGGAAACAATCATGATTCATATCATTCATATTAATATGAAAATGTATGTGATGTACTGCCAGATTTTAGCACCTGCTGTTGATAATGCTTGTTAACTAATATTAGATATACGATCAACAGTGATATCATATGTAAAAGAACAGGACAAAATCTACGCCAGTTCAAGGTTTTCATCACAGGTTTAGGTCAATGTCTAGAGCATTCTACTCATTGTCCATGTGGAAGTCTTGTGTATCATGAAACTTCTATATACAATCTATGCTGTGTGTCTTTGGTTGTATTGTCCGTTCACAAAACATTCTAGCTCGCGAACATTCAGTCAGTTGATCTTCCATGACAAACTGACCACCATCTTTTTTCTCTGTCTTCCTTCGCCTCTTTTCTCCTCAAACTTACCTATTGTCACGAAATACTCCAGTTTTCTCCTTCTAACGATACGACCAACTAATGTAGATTTACTTTTGAGGATGTGGGCATTCAGGTCAATTTATATCAAGCACATCGTGATTCCCCGGTGTATTGGTCCACTGTGTATTCATCACACACGACATTTTTAAAAACATGTACTGTGTTCGACAATTTGCCTTTACTTCACATGCACCCATACAGGCTATGTCAGGCTGGAAGCCTCAGTAAGTCCCTTTACAGTTTTATGGGATGCAGACTCACACGTCTGTCAGTCAGTCACACAGGCAATTTCTGTTCACTTCACTGCTGCGACTTTCGTATGTTTGTGTACTTATAATTATACTTCGTTTTTTCGATGTGCAGAGAACCAGAGACAGAGAGAACGATGACCTAAAACACCAGCTCACGGTTGACACGTCCTTGAAAAAATATGAAGACAAGATCAACGATTATACATCGTCGGGCACATTCACCCATATCTAGTCTAAAATCAGCATGTATTGCCTCACACATCCTCCCATATCTAGTCTGAAATCAGCATGTATTGCCGGGCACATCCACCCATATCTAGTATGAAATCAGCATGTATTGCCTCACACATCCTCCCATATCTAATATAAAATCAGCATGTATTGCCTCACACAATCAACAGGTTTATTTTTACCACACGCTACATTTGTTTAATAAACAAAGGATAGTGTTAACGATTTTTATTGTCACTGTTTTAATTATATTGTTAAATTTATCAAAACAT